TGAAAATCAACCACTGTAATCTTCACACACAAAATTCAAGTAAAGAAAATGATCTCCTACTCATTACCTAAACAGAGTTGTTCTTTTGATTTAATATTTTCTAAGCTGCTTTTAAAAACAGCTAGGTAGGCTGCTCTGCAGTTCATATAAAAAGTCTCCTCTTCAGAATACTGCGATTTCTTTGCTTGACAATTTTCTGAGAGTATGGTTTTCTCACAGGAGAGGGATGCATTACTTCCAGGACTGCTGGCCATTCTGTGAATAATACAAACATATTTAAAGTCTTTTGCTTTTGCTTTCATAGTGCGTAAGTATGTCTCTGTTCTGTCCCCTCACGCACAGATTCAATTAAACTCTCTTTGAATCTGTTTCTCTGTTGTAAAATGGGGATAATGCTACTTAACTGCCTTTGTAAAGTGCTTTGATATTCATGAATTTAAACTATGTAAGTGCTAAGTAATATTCATTATTATTTATTTATCTACACTGAATGCAAACACAGTAGCAAATTTTCCAAGATACCATGTGAGGTGATGCATCCTTAGCCAAAATTAGAATTAAGCCTCTAGGAATTTCTCTGGTTTAAAGCCCATATTCAGAAGAATTTTTTTCCTAGCTATAATTTCTTTAAAAGCATGTCTAACAGTGGAAACACTGTCAAAATTTTACACATCTATCCTTCAAACACATAAAGTTAAGCATATCCATTCAAATCAATGAAACTATTCAAATGCTTAAAATTAAGCATGGTATAAGCATTTGCAGCATTTAGGACCTTAAACTACAACAATACCATCACAAAACTGCACAAAACAGAATGGGGGAAAATCCAGATTTTTTTTCAATAATTGAAATAATTCAAGACAATAACACATTTTGCTCATAAACGGCAGTGAACTTTAACAGTGGTTTTCTTCTTTACCAAAGGTGATTAAGGTTTTTAGAAGGCCATCACAGAGGCACACTAAATTGTGCTGTACTGTTGGCCTAACAGCCTCTAACATTATTTTATCCAGCGTTGACTTCTGAAAATATATTCCCGTATAATAAATTGAATATCTCAAGTTGAACAACAAGATAACGGCATAGGTAGGGTCCCCTTCAGGACTCATTGGATTCTTACTCAGGAGGGCTAAATCACTCGCAGTTTCCTGAGTTATATAGGTCTTTTTCACTTGGGAAAGAAAGATAATAATCGCTTATCATGGATGAAGTACCCTATTTATAATACACAGACCGCCTGCCTGACACTTTCATATTACACTGGCATTAGAAGGACCCCACAGGGACACAGTGATGCAGTCTGGTACTGCAAACGGGTGTCACTATAATTAAGCACCAGTGTTACACTCACAAAATGGAAGTGGGTTAAAGTCAAGGAGGAAAAGGAGAATAAATGTTAATTTTCCAGTAACTAGCTTTATAAAATATGAACTGTTGTTTATGCCCCTCAGCCCACTCATTACCAACCGATTTATTATTTGTGTAGCAGGTGGTGCTGCCAATTTGTGCAGCACAAAGGTGCTGCCAATGTTATTTGAAGTCTAGTGTGCAATAGTTTTCCAAGGGGACTGGTGGAAGCTCCACGGCTTGGTTCATTAAAATCTCAACTGGAAGGATGATGAAGAAGTAACATATATATACAGTAAGGAACAACTGTGCATCAGAGGAAAGGAGAGGGACTAGATGACCTAA